TATGAAGAACTAAGGCTAAAGGTTATTCTAAGTAATTTAGTTTTTGCAATTATTGGGATAAAACACTTTTACACGTTCCACTATATGTAACCCTATCACACATATTTTTATTGTTGATTGAAATAAAGGTCATTTATATTCTGCAGTTTTGTTTTCGTACTTATACAGTAACATTCCTATTGTATGTAACGGACCCGTCCTCACAAGTTCATAACGCACTCGTAGGTAGGTACGCGTAACTACCTATACGCCATCGAATATAATATTGTTCTAAACTTAAAAGTTCCGTAAGACATATTATAAAAGGTATGAAAATCGCAACAATAAAACTGCGTGGGCTTACATTTAAAATAGCAACAGACAAAATAAAAGTCATAACAATTCAAAACTAGATACATATTTCGCACCATTCTTTATACGGCTGCCATTAAAATATAAGTCCAAATGGTACAGATTCAACGTTTTTTGTATTGATCACGTCGGTATCATCAACGGTCTCCGTGGCGAGCTCTTTTTATATTGGAATTAATCAACAATAAAACTAAATAAAAGTTTACGATATAAGATTGTAACACAGTTGTAAACACCGGAGTAGAAAATCGAATGTGATGTTTTAGATTCATTTGATATAGACCGGGCGGTTTTGACGGTGGGCATTACGTGGATAAGACATGTAGAGTTACACCCGTATTCATAAACGATGCTTGCTTAAGTGAAGCAGCAAATCAAACGCACAGCGTTGAATAGAGCTTTGTGACTGGTTCCTGTGTCACCCTGTACGTCCACGCGCACTGTGAAGCCTCATAGTAATTTTTGTGAATAGGTACGGGCGTCAGCGTTTATTAAAAGTTTTATTAGAAATCTGAATATTATCTTCCCAAAAATTATCTACTATTGAAAATAATTTTCATGCAATAAGTCATTTAAGGTTGAAAAGCTTGGACTCTACACTGGAGGCTCTGCGTGCAAATCCTAGTTACAGGTCACAGCATATAAAATTGTGAAATAAATTGGTTGTGACCGAAACCGTAGTACGCGGAACTGACGGTCGATGGGGCAGCAAGATTCTGGAATGGTGGCCGCGTACCGGAAAACGCAGCGTAGGACGTCCACCCACGAGGTGGACCGACGACATCATAAAGGTATCAGGAAGGCGTTGGACGCAGGCCGCTACCAACCGGACAACATGGAAAGCATTAGAGGAGGCCTTTGTTCAGCAGTGGATGATGACTGAAACTGATGGCCCTTAAATAATAATGTCTACTTTGAATTTGAATTTCAAGATGATCAGGTTCAGCAAGATACTTAATCCTATCTAATATGTTACCTAATAAGCTTTTCAGTAAGATATTGTAAACAGCGGCTTCTTCTTATGACTGAAGTTTCTGAAAAAAATGCTCCTTTTACAGGGTATAAAAATATAATAAGTGATATCCACAAAATCCAACGCTCGCCGTGCCCGCCCGCGGCCGTCAATAGGTTAATTTGGCGTCAAAAGCTCGTCGCCGCGACTTGTCAGAGCTTTGACTGTAGGGCTGTCACATTTTATAGAGAATTAAAAATGAAAGTATAATTGAATTGAATAAAATAACAGATTTTTTCACTGCCTTCTGTCTTTCCAGAACACTATAATCCGGGCCTCCTCAGGATACGAGTGAATATGAACCATCCTAGACTTCATCATCATCATTATTTCAGCCATAGGACGTCCTCTGCTGAACATAGGCCTTCCCCAATGATTTCCATAATAGCCGGTTGATAGCGGCCTGCATCCAGCGCCTTCCTGCTACCTTTATGAAGTCGTCAGTCCACCTTGTGGACCATCCTAGACTTGCATCTCACTTAATATGAGGTGTGATTGCGGTTCTAGCGTATTCTGTCTGCATAAAAGATTACTAAAATTCACTTTTGTAAGGTATTTTGATTAGCACTCTCCAAAACCACAAGAGTAGGCGCACACCGTTGATTTTTCGTCGGCCGATAGTTTAGTCGGGCAGTTGATCAGTATGGGCATTGGGCATGTATGGGAGTGCGCACACTACGCCGATTCCATTTGGCCGATTCTTCATACAATTTAAAATCGGGCACAACTATCGGCCAACTAAAAATCAACGGTGTACGCCTACTCTAAATATGTATTTTTTGATAAAATACTGCTTTGGTTTTGGCAACCCTAAACCCGATAGATCCATCGCGATAAGCGTAGGTGTCGCCGAACAACCACTCATAAATTAACGTTGAATCGGACTGGCCCTGATAAGCCCTATCTGGCTGTTTATAAACAGAAGGACTTGGTTAGTTAATGAGATAGCCTTTTGATATACACTGAAATAATGCTGGTGGACAATTGGACTCATTTTGTGTACACAATAATTATTTTATTCTATTTGAGAGTAGGAATAATGCTCGTAAACAGAAGACGGAGAGTGGCGACTTGGGTTTGATACAGCAATTCTTAAATTCATGACACGCACATTATTTTATTTAGTTTTATTTGATGTTTTATTTTGTTTTGTATCGCTTAATAGAATAGTTTTTTATTTGAAAGAAAGACATACAAGCAGAAAAGACATAGGTACATAATGAAAGAGATACTCAAGTGGTGGAGATACAAAATTAATAAACATTTCATTTCCAATTTTCATTTTCAAATGTTTATCTCATAATGCTACTCGTAGTAGTGTATCAAGGATGCGAGGCAAGTACCTACGTACAGGCTCCTTAGAGTAACATAATTTGGTTTTAAGTAAAGCTACGCCCGGCCGGCCTGCGTGTCATGTCCGATAATATGTTTCTTGTTACTGTAAAATGTTTCAGTGGATCCCTTAAAATATCCTTCAAAGAAAATCTTTTTTACTGACGTTTGGACCCCTTTATAGTCAGTCCTATTAACGCACCAAATAAATAATGGATTCGTATCAAGTCGCTACGAAAAACATTTTGATCCCATCGCGTGAGAAAAATTAAATATTACTTTGCAAGATATATCGGTTTCAAGACATAATTCACCCGTCTCATTCCTGCAACCAGCATCCCAATGAGTTAGAGAGAGATGGAAGTAGTTTAATAAATTGATATCTTGCGTAGTGATGAGCTCTACTCAAGTTTTTCCGAACGATCAGATCGGGCCGCGTAAGCGCGCCCATGTTCATTAGCGTCCATTATTTTATTATGAATATTATCATAACTCTGAGAGAGCAGCGACCATGAAGCCCTAAATTGTCAACCGGAGCCGTAATTAGATGTTTATCGTTTTTATAAGCCCGGAAACTTCGTGTGCGATCGCCTAGCTTCTATAATATTTCTTTTATATGCTCTGATATCATCACGTTTACAAAATTATTATGAAAATGACGTTTTATTGCTACTAATCAAAACTCTTTTATAAAGATCTTATTTTCTGAGTGACAAAGTTGAGAATGTCCGAAAAAGACCATGTTGAGTTTTTTAATAAGGTGATTCGCTGCCAGGAGATGTTAATAAACAACTAATGTAAGTTAAAGCATGTATAATGTATTAGACCGCGTACGGGTGGCCGTCGATGCCGCGATACTATCTCGGGCGAGATTCGTCTCTTGATTCTCTTAATTACCGTTAATGTGGTTGGCACAGAGCAGCGAGGGTCAGCGGATTGCTACTGGTTTTAATGCAGATTTTGTGGAAATATTTAGCGATTTTTAACACTGTATTTTAAAGCACCAATAAAATTCCTGACACGTAGGTATTATTATATTTATCATGGCCATTTTAAAATCTAGTCTTAAGAAACAAAACATTAGCATAATAATGTGTTCACGTTCGTTCTTAAACACACAATTATTGCACACACAACAATGTTCAGTACAAAAAGGCGAGCTTAATGCCATAAGTCATTCTCTACCAGCTGACCTTGAGCAAAACAGAGATATTGAGTAGGCGGTGCTAAAAAGCTAAGCTTAAATAGGTAATTATGCTTTCTAGAAAATTAGCGATTAGATGAAGATTTAAATCTTTGTAAACATTCAATTCACTTACATTTTAAGTTCTTAAACTGGGACCTCAGTGTATTTTTTTCCATTTAAAGGCGTGACAGTTAGATCGCACCCGGATAATTAAAGACCGATAGAGGCCCTAACTAACCACATAACTTGGCCATTTATTCAAACATCAACTGTTTCCAGCATAGTATAACTAATACTTAATAAATATTGTTTCCAGTGACTTCATGATAGTAAATTCACAAAACTTACTTCAAACCTTTGCTCTTATTTTATCCGACTGCGCCAGATGAGTTATAAACACACTGCTTATTCCTACGCTGTGGCCGTTCTTTGAAACGCTTATGATTTCAATGCGTGAGGCGGATCCCCGATAACCGGCGGCTAACTAACTGTTAACGTTGTGTTAATTAAGATCTGCCTCGGCGCGGCTACTCGGGTTACATGGCCGGACCGATTCCGATGATAACTGATTAACTGGATATTGATTACAAATGGGAGCTTTCAGATAAGGTGGGCTGAAACTTTTATGGTTGATGGGAAAAGTCGCGTTATGAAACTACTAGCTTTTGCCCGCGGTTTCACCTGCGTGAAATTTAGTATGTCACAGATCGTCATAAATTATAGCCTATATGTTAATCTGGGTTATAAACAGTAATACTGTAAAGTTTCAACAAAATCCGTTCAGTAGTTTTTGCGTGAAAGAGTAACAAACATCCAGACATCCAAACATCCAAACATCCAGACATCATGACATCCAAACTTTCGCATTTATAATATTACTAGGACTAGGATACTAGGATGTCGTAGTGTGTACGATTTACTAATATTTCCATTTACCTCTGCTAGTAATAAGCTAAATGTATAAGCATATAAAAGCTTATTACTTGCAGATTTATGCACCATATTAGTTAAGCATTCGACACAGATCGTAGTTCTCTCAGGTTGGCAGTCCAAATCTTGAACCGTTATGATATTGTGTTTTCTATCAAAGCTATGATTATGAAAGAAATAATATTGTACCTGTATGCGGCATCTGGGTGGCGGTGTCAATATCTGAAAAAAAAAGTAAAAATATAATGCAAATACAAAAATTATTAGGCGTTCCTATGAAAATTACACTGTGCCTAAATACTCAATACATAGATACATTGTAACTGAACGGACTGTACGTAGCCCTAAGGCTTGTTCCCATGGGGACATCCCGTTTTTTGCAGGATCCCTTTAAGTAGTACATGTTTTAATCTTAACATTCACATGACGAATACCGTTTGCAGTGCCCCGCAAAACCGATCCGCTCGAATTTGCAATTTGAATTTCAAAAACTGGATTGCCGTGGGAACGAGCCCTTTATTTACCAAGCAACTTGATCCTAAGCACAAAATAAACTTAACTGAAGAAAACCAAGTTTGTTTACAGGAACGCCACGATTTCCATATCTTAGTAAACATGTTTATCTTTCCTACCATCGCGTTATTATACCGCGTGACATCTATATCGGGGCTCCATTTATAATGTCGGCCGAAATGTAGGGGGTTGTTAGTCCTTTAGGGAAATAGAAAAGCATGGTTTAAGTGACAAAACTACTTAATAGTATCATCTTAGCAATCATTTTTTTAATTTGAGACTTATGCGAAAAGCTTTGATCTGTTTAGCGGAAAATAAAGCTTATTATGAGGTCATTTACGCCCGTATTTACAAAAATTACTATGACATTATTATTACACAGTACGCGTGGATGCACAGGGTGATACCGAACAAATCACAGAGCTCTATTCATTCCACGCTGTGCGTTCGATTTGCTGCTTCACATAAGCAAGCATCTTTTGTGAATACGGGCGTTAGTCCGTGCTGCAGGAAAATGCTCATCTATTCCCTCATCATCATCATCCATCATCATCATCGGGTATGGGTATTTAATTTCCACGAGGTGCACATTAATGTAGCAGAGACAAATAGAGGAGAGATCCTATCCTGCTCTACCAGTTTCTAGCTTCTTTTTAAATAGCTAGGAATTTTCCAGCCTTTCACATTTAGAATTACATTTTGCAATGTTTAATCATTCAGACTTATCGTAAAATGGAGTTATTTTAATTCGGTAAGCGTAGTATGCAAATATTGTATTCCCTTACATGCAACACTAAAACGACTTCGTTGTTTCCGTCTCTGCTATTATAATTTTGTTAGCGGGGGCGTGACGCGCCCGTCGCCTGAGCCTTGATTGCCGCTAGCTACCCTTAAATAATAATTTATTCAAATTAAAAATACTTATCAAAATATGATGCGGTACTAAATCAGTGGTAAGTGAGTCGGTGCGTGTCGGTTATGAAAATCGATGTTATCGTCCGTCCGATCAGCGTGAAAATCCGAAATAGGTATATGAATAAAAAAGTCAGTGCTTACACGCGAATATCAGTTTAAAATGCGTGGCTTCTTGTCGCGCCCCTCGGGCCGCGTGACAACCGATATCGATAAAAATGTCTTGTGACACTGACCTTTCATAAAAACCTTGTCAACCTTTCATGTAGGTATTTGCAAAAATCTTGTGGCTGATTTTCAGGCGGCAAGAAAAATTAAAAAGAAAAACAATTCTGTTTGTTATCACTAAAGGAGGAAGATCAAGAAAATGTACGAGTTTTGCGCAGAAAAACAGTAGGTATGAATATTTTAGAAACCTCAAAGCTTTTCTAAGAAAAGCACCTATGAAATGCACAATATCTATGTAAAAATTAAATTAAGAAAATACATTTATCTGAAATTCCGTATTAATTTATTTTAATTCATTGTCACGTGAGTCTTTTTTAATAGATTTTTACGAGTTGATAATTTTCAGCACTCAAGTATAAAAAAAAGCTTCTTCGAGTCTATGCTACTTCCAAAAAACTTCACCAGCCCATGCCCAAAAAAGGGATTGAACTTCACCGTATCACTAATATTACCATGATTTACGGTCGGCACACATTTTGATTAAGGCAAAAAACGAAAAAGCCCGAGTGAGTGGGAGGCCGATAATTTGGCTGTAAATAAGTGTGACCGCGCTTAATGCGGTCAACCATCAGATAGCGCTCCTGTTTTGCATAACAACATCGTTTAGGGACGCGGGCGGTGTCGATACATCGATATCGACACAATTACAACATTAAGATCGGGGTCGAATTGTAATGAGATGTGAAAGATATTGTTTATTGAAAACTGTCAATTTTGGTAGCTATTAATGTTGACTATGATTTTAAAATGTTATTAAGCTTCTCTCAGCACCTGCCAAATGTTTGTCTCGAACCACTGGAAGGGCAAATATAATGAGACATCTAAAAGCTCCTAAAGACCAAGAAATTATTTAATCTATTAGTATTTTATGTTCTCGCCTTTGCTAGCTATACATACTTGCTCAAATCCGTGGTGGTGGGGGCCCGGTGACCTGTAACACAGGTATTCATTTACCTAGCTCAGGCTCCGGTCTCACACAATCATTAATGAGTTTTCTTTAATGTATTGTATATTGTATCCTGTATTTTTGTGTGAGAAATAAATAAACCTTATTATTATTATTATTATTATAATTCATTTTTATCAAGTACAAATAAGTAAATTCTTGATTTTGATATAAAACCAACTGCCAGCGTAAGGGTTGATATACGTGACATTTAATTGCGTTTCGTGGCCTGGCTAATATTTTACGCCATGACACTTTTTGACATAGACATAATCTTTGACCTTTATTTCCTCACGCACAACAAATCCACGAAAAGTAAACCGACCGGACAATCTCTAGGATTCCGTGCAAGAACTTGGAAGTCAGGTCGAGCGTATCAAAAATATTACAAAAACTATTACCATAATGTCATACGACAAAATGCTTAAATTATAGAGCGCGTGCCCAGCGGTCACGCTAAAGTAACCCACAGCAATATCGTTTCGAATAGGGATGTAAAGAATATTCTCATTGGGGACTGATGAAGCGAATGTTTGGCGAATGTATTTTAGATAGAGGGAGGTAATTCGAACTCTATCTCTCTAAAGATAAATTTGCATAAACGATTTCTCTGAAAAACCGTTTAAGCCAAAGTTTTCAACAGTGAACAAGACACAAGAGGAGGATTGATGTATGGACTTAAGTATGTCCAATAAAATAATACTAATATGTATTCTTTATTTATTTAACACGACTGCCTTATTGGTGATAGATTAAACTGTACCGACAAGAAATGTCAAAAGTACCAAACAATTTGCTTGCTCTCCAATTAAAGATCAGTGTTCGTATCGATAGAGACGATGTATCATTCGCGAATATGAAAAACCAACATTCTTTTACAGCCCTAAAAAGCTCCTGAAATCAAGGCTGCGTCTATCATTGTAATCTAAGGGTAGTTTTAGAAGCAGGTATTCGCTTAACCCTGTGTTTTGCGTGGAGCGGTGTGCGTGTCATTAATAATTTGTGAATATTTTACAATTAAATAATCTTTTTACGGACGCTTTGTAAGCAAAACTTGTTTAGGGCAGGCCGTTTGGGTTTACGATTACTGGTTGTTGGTATGCTGCTGAATAACGTGAATAACTTGGTTTATTTCAGCTCTCAATTGACTTTTTTTTTTTTTTTTTAAAGATTATTAGTAATTTGTTATTAAACAAATTACTAATACTCCCGTTAGTTAGTAACTTTGTAGACTAGGTTTATTAGAAGTTTGTTTAGCATCATTATCTACACTAATATTATAAAGAGGAAAACTTTGTTTGTTTGTTTGTTTGTTTGTTTGTTTGTTTAGTTGTAATGGATAGGCTCAAAAACTACTGGACCGATTTTAAAAATTCTTTCACCATTCGAAAGCTACATTACTCACGAGTAACATAGGGTAAATTTTATTTTGGAAAAAAATAGGGTCCTGTAAAATATTTGGGATTTTTATAAGACGTTGAATAGCGCCATCTATCGTCATTGGTTAAAATCTTCTCGCGCCTGACAAAAAATTTTGAGGTTCGTAAATATTTATGAAGGCAAAGCTGTCAAACGCCATCTATCGACATCATTAGTAAATTAGTAACTAAATATTACATGTACTATGAATAGCGCTGTTCGTAAATAATATTGAAATTTAATAAATAAAGATATTTTATGTAACTGAACCATTCACTGTATGTACCTATTTGAATCATATCAGAANGTGGACGTCCTATGGCTGAAATGGTGGTGGTGGTGGTGGTACATATACTGAAAATGTATCATTAGAATGATTTCGATTTCTCCTTAGCCCCCGTAGTTGATACTACGGGGGCTAAGGAGATAAAAGGAGGGTTGGAAGTTTATATTATGAAAGTCCTATGTGTTTAAAGCAAGAGAGTTGAAATTTAAAATGTATGCGCTATAGATGCTAAGAGCGGATTTTACGAAACTCCACTCCTAATGGAGTAAAACGAGGTCCACGCGTACGAAGTCGCGGGCGGCCGCTATCTCTAAATATAAACTCAAAGGTGACTGACTAGCTTACTGATATAGTGATCTATCAACGCACAGCCCAGACCACTGGACGGATCGGGCTGAAATTTGGCGTGCAGGTAGATGTTATGACGCATCCGCTAAGAAAGGATTTAACGAAACTCCAATCCTAAGGGGGTAAAACGGGATCCACGCGTATGAAGTCGCGGGCGGTATTACATAAACAGTTAGAGATATATTTGATATTGGAGAGTAGAAGAGACCTCTACATGGAATTTGGTGGCACTTTTGGCAATATATTGTTAAAACGGTTGTGTAGTTGTTTCTTCCAAAGTACGGAACCATATTTTACATCAGAGGGCTGTTAAAAGATTGAAGTACCCTTAAAAATGGTTATTATTACATTTAAATGTCCCACCAGAGTATCGTACCCAAGATCTCCTTCTTGAGTAAAATTTAAGTTGCTTTTAGTTATAATGAATAGTTATGCCATGTTAAATAATTCATGTATTCTGAGGCCACAATAATGTCAGTAAATTAACACTTTGGTGGACAGTATAAGTTAAGAATTACTTCCCAAATGACACTACTTATTCACATACATTGCCTATGGGAGTGGTGTCCA